AAAAAAAAAAAAAGCTAACAAAAGGAAACAGGTACACAAGGATATATCAAATTGATGTGAGACATCATCACAGTAGGCCAGGCAAAGGGGAAAACAAGCTTTCTTCCCCTTTTATGCCTTCTTTCTGCATTCAGTGGAATAAAAGATTAAATCTCACTTGGAGGATTCATAGAAGATTTTATGAAGGAAATTATTTAAATGAATTAGATTTTATTCATTCACTCAACAAATAGGTATTGAGTGCCTACTATCCATCTGTCAAACACTGTGCTGGATGCTGAGTCTACACAAAGAACAAGACAGAAAGGTGAGCTCATGGAACTTTATTCTGGTAGACAAGATAGGAAAAAACAAACAAACAACTCTAGATGGTGTCAAAGCCATGAAGACAATAAATAGTATTGAGATGGAGAAAAATACGAAATGTAAGAGTGATAAGAGGAGACATTTCTGAGGTGCAAGTGGCATTTAAACTGAGACGTAAGCAGCCAAGGATTTGAGATAAAGGAACAGTAACAAAAGAACTGAAAAAAGGCCCAAGCAGATGGAGTGAAGGGATGGTAAGGAAGAGGACCTCTGGGCTGCACTGCTTTAGGGGAACCATATATTATTTATTCCCTGAACAACCGGGCAGAAGAAAGTAGCAGCAAACAAAATTCGAGAGGTAATTATGAGCAAGTAGGTTTCTCTATTTGAAGAGGGTTTGGGGTCCCAAGAAGCCACCCCCTCCACCAGACTAAATCCCCAGGAGGAAATGTATATCATCATTGTGCATCCTTCATAACATTTGTAACTCACACCATAGTCATTTCTTTCTTTTTAAAAAATTCGTAAACTATATGCCTTAAGCATTGTGCTCTTTTAAACAATGGTCTATGTAGGATCAAATTGACAATAGTAACTTGAAAGATTAAATAGGAAACTTAGAGCTGTTAATGAGGGAGGAACAATTTGGAAAAGGAGGGTAAGAATGGTAGCACAACTTGAAGAATGTAATAGGTGCTATTCAGTTGTTCATGTAGAAATTGTTTAATTGATGTATATTCTGTTGTATACTCAAAAAGAAAAAAATGCATTAAAAAATGTCCTACCACTGTAAGGAATCAAAAAGGCAAATTAGCAGAACTATTCCATTCACAATAGCCTATAAGAATAATAACTAGGGATAATCTAACTAGCAATTGAAAATCTTATGTGGTGACTATTATAAAACACTGCTGAAGAGGAAAGAAGACTTAAATAAATGGAGACATGCTCCATGATCATGGATTGGGAACCTTAATATTGTTAAGATATCAATACTATCAACTGTGATCTATAAATTCAGCCAACAGCCTTCTTTACAGAAATGGAAAAAAACAAGCCTCAACTCTACATAGAATGGGAAGAGACCATGAATAACTAAGCAATGTTTAAAGAGAAGAATAAAGTAAACTCACCAGTTACTGATTTTGAAACATATTGTACAACTATCGCAATAAAAAGCATCCTGGCTGAGACAGAGAGGATGACATGAAGAGATGGAGTGGCTGGGGACTTGGGATCCAGAGAGGGAGAGGGGCTGTGTGCTGAGGACCTTGAGGGGAGGGCGGATGGGATTGCAGGGTATA